CACATTGAAGAAATAAAAAATATTCTTATTGGTGTACACTGCAGAATAATACAACATAGTTTTGTTTTATTTATTTTGTATACAGAATCAAATTTTAACACCTTTGGGCCCTCCAAAAATCAAAATGCCGTGCATAATGATTGAATTTCATGCTTTATCATGTGAAGTGACACTGATGAAACTGTTTTTAAGTAATGGGCCAAATTCACTATTGCAGTAGGGTGTAAAATTGCATCATTCAGTCTTTCGACTATCTGATTACCAAGTTGCAAAAAATTGTAGCCATCCCGTAAGATGTAGTCTGAGGTCTTTCTAAAGTCACAAGATGCATTGGATTTGTGGGATTTGTGCAATGGAATCTGTACATTAATACACCTATGTTAATAACATTCATGTTTTACTGAAGTCAAAGCATGACTGGTAGAAAAGCTAGCTTTATGCTTGAGTGAGAGCATTTTACTTTCTTTTCACTGGAGGAATTTTTAGCCTGGCAGCAATAGCATTGTAATAACTGCCAGCTGCTCACTTGGCACAAGAGTGCCTAGAACCAAGAGGGAAGAGCCTGGTGCATTATATGTGTAATTTACTTTTCTCTAAAACTTGAAGGTTTAGACCTCATAAATATTTTGATCTGGTCTTTGATGGCCTTTGTACACATCAGTCTGGGAATATGCATGTGGAGCATAGCTTGCAGATTTTAGTTTGGAGTACATTGAAGTAATTCCCACCAGGATAAGAAGAGAAATTATTCTGGGAGATTCATCTGTGAGTGGGTGGTCAAGAAAGAAGGAAAACCTTTAACATTAAGCAGATGGACCTCCCTCATTTTATACTGTATATTGGGAATGCAAGATAATCATCTCCCCAAATATTGGATAGTATTGACCTGATTTTCACATCAAAAGAATAAGGTTCAAGACATTATTTGTCAGGTAGAAACTTGGGAGTGGAAAGGAGACTTTTTTTGTATGCTCAACTCTGTGCTTGCCCACGACTGTCAGGGCAATGATACAGCAGAAATTAAGTCTGGAAGGGTACACAGGAGCAATTGTTGTACCTTTCTCCACTTGTAAACTCACACAGCTGCAAGCCACAGAGCACTTCTTGACTCACAGTGCCACTTTACTTTTTGGTATTTAAAACTGGCTTCAGAACTACAGTGTACGAAAGGAGAAACCAGGGAAGAGTATGGGCCTTTTTAACATCTTTATTTCTAAATCCTTGAGACGTATCTGGAAACAGGCCATACAGGGGTAGGAAGTAGGTGGGAAAATATGGTGGTCTCTGGTCTGATTTTGGGAGAGAAATTTTGCTCTGATCTGGTAATCAGTTTGACCATAAGTATCTGAGCAACAAACACTGAGGCACTCAAGAAAGTTAATACCAGTGGGTGCTACCTTGCATCCTTAGGATGCAAGTTCCTTGCATCTCTAGATTTCATTTCTTATGGTGGACAATCGCCAGTGAAATTAGAGGAAACTGAAATTCAGGCCATCTTACCTGCATCTATGAGGGAAGGGAAAAATTTTCCTTGTCATGAAGATGTCCTGGGGCATGCATGGGAGTATAATATTTGGGAATTCAGAGCTTAAACTCTAAAGGAGTATGTGATTTGAAGCAAATTGTTTAATTTCGTTCACAGTTCTTTATTAAAAAAAAAACAGTAGTGCCTTCTTTCTTGGCAGTCTTTCTCTGTGTTAAATAGATTCTTTGTAGAAGGAGCTGTCTTGTTCAAAGTCCCGTGCTGTAGTCAACTAATGAGTCTCTGATCTTAGCTGCTAGTGTAATGTAAACAAATACTGCTTTACTTTAACAAAGTGCTGCTTTAGTGATACCTTTTTTTAGGATATTTGTGCCAAGCCTGATCTATTTCAAATGAATGGGGAAGCAGCATTTTGATTGAAAGCAACTGCAAGAACCAACCTGTTACGCAAATCCCAAGCTTTCAGTTGGGAGGTTCCACATCTAGAGATTGCAGTTCACTCTAAATCCTGTTTGAGATGTGGACAAGAGAGTAAAGCAATGAAAAAGTGGAAGAAAGGTAGAAAGGTGAGACGCAGTTTAGGGGTCTTCCATGCTGGCTCTAGGCAGTAGCTGGAAGGACGATGTCATTCTCTCTTCTTTCTTCCCCTCCTTGTTTTTGTTCCAGTACAGGGGTAGGAGTGTATCTGTGTTTGTGTCTTCTTCCTGCCACATATGCACAACACCTGTGGTTAATGAGAATCTGAGAGGAGGTGGTTCTTTCTCTTTCCTTTATACTTTTCATACTACTTATTCTCCCTCCCCTTCCTTCTGGATGTACAGGGGAATGAAAGAAGGAATTTAGCCAGATTTATGCTTTTTCTTTCATGTACAGCTGTATGTGTCTTGGGATATTACAACTGGGTCCCTTTCTCCTGCCTTTTCACTAAAGTTCCATCATATTTTGTGGTTCCCAGGCTTCTCTGACAGAAGGATGATAATATGCACGTGATCTGTTTTTGCTTCAGCTACTTACAGATTGTGAGTAGCAGTGGGGCTAACCAGCTGCTGCTTGTTTTGTGGAGTTGATGCCTCAGTTGTTTTGAGAACAGAAGAAGAAACTGGCTCCTCTGCAGGTTGAGGGTGGGAAGAGGCCTTCTTTCTGCAGTGTCACCAGAACAGTGTAAGACTGCCTTTTTTCATGCAGGTTCTTTTCCACACAAGCTTTCAGTGCCCTGTGTGAAATAAATGTAGTTTCAGAAAATGCCATCATCGAATTTATCCCGACTTGTCTCAGCAGAAGCAGCAAAACTGGGAGTGGAATTTTGATGCTGTGAAGTAGTTGGTTCAGCTGAGCTTCTACCTATAGGCAGAATAACATTAAGGAGTCCCCAGAGTATGTGCTTGTTTGGGACTGTGTCCCATTTGATTTGATTATTCACTAAATGATCACTTGCCAAGCTTTCTCATCAAAAACCAGACTGATGCAAACAATAATGTATAAAATTAGATCCAAATAGTTGTTGAAATTCTTAAATTCAAAAATTTAAGAGTGAACTGGTTTTGTTTGTTTGTTTAATTCTGTTTTGTGTCTTCCACATCTGTGGGGATGCACTGTTTTAAAATGAGCCCTACTGGATGAGGTAAAGCTGTAAGTGTTGCACACTGATGCCTCCCAATGACCAATATAAAGCAGCACACTATGTATATTTGTAAAACTCTTTACCTCCCCCACTCATAATATCATCATTAGATCATCTTTTAAAGTAACTATTAAACTTACCATGTACCAGCCAGCGAGTGTCTTTGTGTTAAATTCTCATTTAACCTTGTGCAGTGATTGCATATCATCAAGTGAGGGGGGATAGCTGCAGCATTTTAAAATGCAGGTACATGGAGCCAATAACTCTTCTGTTTTTAACACAGTAGTAAGAATTCCATAGAAGCTGAAATAATAGCTAGTGTACTCCTAATCTTTAAAAATAATATTAATTTAAAAAATTCAGTGAAAATGTCAATGTATGTAAAATTTTATGGTATCCAACAAAATCTTTTGTTGTCTAAAAGCCAGTTATATTTTTTTTAAGGAATGCATTCTCGTTTTAGGTATTTTCATACTTTAAAAAAATAACATTCTCTGCAAGTTCCTACCTCTCTTTCTTGTATTTTTCCTCTCACAACTGTATTTAAATAAGACCACCATAAACCAAATCATTTGTGGACACTGATTAAAAAAAAATCTCTATTTTAAGGGGCAACCTAAAAATCCAGGAAGTTGGCATCACCTTTCAGAGACAGTGTTCTTGGTTCAAGGTCAGACAATTGATCTTTAACCCACCCTGCATAGTTTAAAGTGTTTTTTTTTAGTACCGGGGTTGTCTGCTGGTATCAGTCCTTTTTTGTATGTTTATATTGGTAGAACTTAATGAGATTACGTGTATTTTGATGAACAATTGCTGTTGTGTAAACTTGCCACCTACCTACAGTGACTCTTATGAATATTTGATGATAATAAGTAGTAGGAACTTCACTGTGATGCTCACACACACTTAAAAAACCAGCAGCACAGGAATAGCTTTTGTTCTGCTTTTTTGCTTGCGGTAAACAGTATGAGATTTATATACATGTTAATTATAAGGCATATCTAGCATATTTCTGTTCTTAATACTAGGAGTTCCGTTTAAATCATTATTCTGTTGTTTTAGGAGGGGAAGGATGCAGGATGGAAGATGCAATTTTTAACATTGAGATTTCTATTTTAAGTTGAGGCAAGGTTGACTGGTCGGTGTCGTGCTTCTAGCTATGAATTAGCGGTTGAGAAAATGGAAAAAAATACAGTGGAACATACCATTTTGCAGATGCAGCCACGTTCTACAAAATCTAAAATTAGTATCTGTAGATCAACAATTTTGTAGACTTTTGTGCAATGTCTTTGGTCTGTCCAGTATCACCCTATAGATCCTATAGGCAGTACTTTTGTGTCATATTGCAAATCAGGCAATGTCTGTCAACAGCAGGCATCACCTTTTGTCATCTCTTCATCTGGTTTCTTTTTATGTAGATGGTGTAATAGAGGGTCCTCACCTTGTATGTTGTTTCAAGATGTTTTTGTGCGAAGCTGGTATTGAAAACCACATTCCTGATTTAATTGTGTTGAATTGTGATACTTGGTTTTGTTTGCACATTTGAAAACTTACTGCTTTCATTATCCAGCTTGCTTTACAGACCATGTTCAAAACACAAACTAATGTTTTCTAAGTTGCCATAGCTTGTTTAATTACATATTTTTCCTTCTGAGACTTATGGGGCCTGCTACACAGCTATATTTTTCCTTACTAAAGTGGTGACGACAGCAGCAACAGCTCTGACATTTACTGTTAGAGGTTTTTTGTACTTAAAATAATCTGGCATAGTAGTTACTAGAATTATTTTTTCCAGTAGCTCCTGCATATTGAGAGTGTAAAATCTGTAAGTTTATTAATGCTACTATAGTATTTTTCTTGAAAAGTGGTGCTTTACAGAACTTATTTTTCTTTCAGGGAATCAGTTTCCTGCTATTGCAGCTCAAGATCTTCAGTTTGTTCTGAAGGCTGGATACCTGGAAAAACGCAGAAAAGGTAAGTCTAACTACCTTTGTGAAAACTAGTGCATATTTTATATCTTGGAAGTCTATGTGTCAGTATTTGATGTTATACACACAAATAACTTCATACAGGAGTGATAAATAAAATGGTATAGAAGCTGGAATGTTGAAGCATTATCATGCAAAAGAAGCACAGCACATAATTGCTCCTGTAGTATTAAAAGAAAATCCTATTTCTTTATTGACTAAAAAAATCATGCTGTGAAAGTCCACTATCGGCCATAACTCAGACACTTTCAGATATTTTTGAAGAAAACATTAGGAACATATGTAAAAGTACCATATGTTGACTTCATGTTTCAGTGAGCATCAAGATTTATTTTCCTTCAAGAGGGCAAATATTGATCTCAGCTTTGGCTCAGTCAATATTTACCTTGATTCAATAAATCTTATATTGTCACTTTAATACCCACTTAATGCTGCAATAACTCTAGGAAATATTTAGGAAGTTGTTCATTATTTCCTTATATTTAATGTTACACATGACTTCTCTCTTTATATGATTTCAAATTCCCATTTGTTTTCTTACCACCAATTTTTATTTCTAATTTCCTTCTCAGTGCCATACATTTCTCCTCTTCATATCTAGATTTTGTTTCTTTTCATTAGCACCTTCCCTGTCTTCTCCTCCCTCTTACCTCACCCTTGAAAAGAAGTAACATGTTTGTGTTCAATAATGGCATAAAGTGATATAACACAAATTATATTAATTGCAGATCACAGTTTTCTCGGCTTTGAATGGCAGAAGCGTTGGTGTGCTATCAGTAAGACGGTCTTCTATTATTATGGAAGTGACAAAGGTAATTATAATAATTATGATAAACTATAAAAATTATCTTTTAATGCACATTAGAATATGAAAGCTTTAGAGGAGTTGAAAACTGCGAATCTAAGGTCATTTTAAGAAAGCAAATGAAACTTCTAAAAGAAGTTCTTAAACATGCTGTGAATTTTAAAAATGTGTAAATATTCTTCAGATCTATAAATGATGTGCTCATTTTCTGAGGAAATTGAGGAAAAAAGATTAAGGTACTTGTAAAGCTACTTTGTGTGCCAATAACAGCTAGCTATTAGGTTTGATAGTATGCTGGTACTCAATTGATTTACTGGACAGAAAATGTTCTTTCTGTCCAAATAAGATTTTCATTTTAAAACACCCTCTAGCAATTATACCTTCCAAGTTTTTTAAAGATAGTTCTATCCAGGAAAATATTAGTCTAAAAACTGCATAGTGGAGTTCCATGTTTCTTTATAAATAGCTTATGTTCTGAAAAAGCTAGAAATGAAGTAATATGTTTAACTAAAAGCCAGTCATGGAGACTAAAGCTAGCTTCTGAAGGTGACTTTTAACTTTTAATGGCCAGTTTAGAAAGAATCCGGCATAAATGTTGGGATATCGCTTTGAATTTTTAAAATTGACAGTCAAATAAAACATCCTTTAAATTGTGTGCCAAGTGTATTTGATGTTTAAAGGTAAAACAAATGATACAGAAATACATCTTAGTAAATTTTAAAAGTGCAATTACGTCTTCTTTCTCCCCCCCTCCCCCAATACTTATTCCTGGGCAAACTTTCCATTGAAGCTTTTTTCTTCTGCTTATGTTTCTGTGACTCTACTTGAGAGTAGTGCAGGTAATTATTTTGTGTTGTTCTATTCAAAGGCTAATTGAATTTGGTCCAGATTGTTTCATTCCTCAATAAGCTGACTCATTTAAACTCATCCTCTCTTTAAAAACGAAAGAAATAAAGTAAGGGTCTAATTGTAAGTCCAGTTTTCGTCTTGCTACAGTTTCCCATCATATTCTCTGTTTCCAGAGTATATCTGCTAAATGTTTCCTTTTCTTCTTTACTCTTTTCTTGGGATTGACAAATTGATCAGGCTTCAAAAACATAAACAATCTTTCTTCAAAAATTTTGAGGAGGTGTGGCATAACACTGATTTGTCAGTAATGATTTATTTCTTTCTTTGGAAAATTATCTTGTGCTGTTTATATATAGTTATAAGTTATCTAGTACTTGAAAATGGCAATTTTTTTTGTCAGAATATATTGCTAGTTCTTAAAGATTGTTCTGGGTTTTTAAATCTTTGTCTTTTCATCTGCTAGTTTTCGCAAAAAAAAAAAAGCTTGGGTTTTTTTTCCTTGTGTCTGTTCTAATGATTATTTATGCTTTCTAGCATATGGTCTTTGGATTAAGGCAGGAAAACTGCTCACCTGCTCTTTTTCCATCCTTTTTTTTTTTTTTTTCCCCTGTCTTTTGCAGCAACCTAACTATCAAGGCTACATTGTCATTTCTAAGACCTATGCTAAAAGTTAAGATACATGGAGGCATGTTCCCCAGCACTCGGACAGTTGGTGTCATGTTAGGAATTGGCTGTGATATGCTGTGGGATCTCTTCCCTTTATGGATCTATAGACAGATGCTTTGGCTTATACATTTACAGCTTTTGTAGGCTGCAGATTGTTTAGGGAAGATCCTCCTAACTGTAACTTAATGATGTGGGAGAAGCACATAGTCTATGGATCATCTTTTGGGAATTGTATAGACATGGCTGGACTCCAAACAGTAGCTCATGGAGGAAGCAAATAAATCAGATGCATGAATTTCTGCCCTACCTCCATGTGACTGGTGCTGTTAGTGCAGAAAAACTAGCGCAGCATGGTGGAATCGTTTTGTCTTGCAGATCTGGGATGACCAACAGTCACTCCAGTACTTGCCTTTGAAGAAGAAAGCTTTTTTTCTAGACTGGTCACAGGTACTTTCTTCAGCCCTCTGATGCCATAGTACAGAAAGGTGCCTGTTCCAGTGCGGGAGCAAATTGCCATCATTGTGTGGAAACTGGGTGCCAGCGATTGCTGTAGTTCCATGGCAAACTAGTTTGCTGTTGAAACTGAGCCGTTGTCCTGATGGTTGTGAACGTATGTGCTGGTGTTTATCATGCTGTTTAGCTGCAGATTGCCAGCATGGATGAGGTGTGTGATGAGACAATCCTGAGGAGATGTGGCATTTAGTCACTGGAAGAACCTGAAACTGTTTTCACTCCTGCTATTACGGCCAGCAGTGGTACCTGCCGTAGTACACTGTCGTATTGGGGCCTTTCTTCCTGTGCTGTGACTCTTGATAAGATAACTTGGACCACACAGAAAATGAAGGCGTGTTCTTACCAACTGTAGAACAGCAGTGAAGTGTGCATCTGGGTGGCTTCATGCAAATTGCTGCCACCTCCTGAATCGTTGGGATGGCATCTGTCTAAACGATGCCGGTCTGCCCTCCCCTGTCTGCAGATGTTTTGTATCAGCTGGGCCCTGGTTTCTGACAGGTTCCAGGACTGATTCACACAACAGGAAAACTCCCCCTCGTCGATGTGAACACGGTTTGAAGAGAGATGAGGGAGAGGGGGAATTCCATACGTGCTCAGTCCTGCTGCCTGTGTCACTTCTAATGGGTAATGGAGTGCTAGTTGCAGGATGTAATGCAGAGAGGCAGCAGGGATTTTGAGGTCCTGCTTGGCTTGTTTTGCGTTGTGTATGTTTTTAAAACCGGACACGTAGGCGAATAATCTGTGAAGGATGTTTTGTGTCTGGTGCAGTGTGTATTTTGTTGGCCAAGGTTTGATTTTCATGCTTAAATATCAGTGTAAATGTAACTGAATGCTAAATGTGTGGCTATAGGATGCCTTTTTATTAGGTTGTGTAGATTTGTGGTTTCCAAACCAGTTTTAATTCTTCTAACTTTATCCTTTTTTCACTGGGAAAGCAAGAAGTATGGAAGTGTATAAAGCTCACAAACACATGTAAGGAAAAGTTTCAGAACCATTTATTCAGACCTGAATGATGAAAAATATGAGGCCTAATCCAGGAGAATATAGTACAAGCTAAAGCCTGTGAAAATACAGTAAATGACTGTATGTTTGTGTATGTCTGTGTGTTCACCTAAGAGATTACAGCATCCTTTTAACAGTTGTGATGCCTGCAGGCTAATGAATCTCTTGTTTCCCTGTTTCCTCCTCTATTTTCTCGTACATTTGGTGCAGCATTGGATAGTGAAACAATGTTAGTTATCCCTGCAATATAGACAGGTCTAAGTGAACACCTAAATTTTTTTTTTCCCTGATCAATGGTACGCAGAGTAGATGGAGGAACAAGGCTTAAAAGTTTGACCTAATTACATGTCAGAAATAGGTATTGCAGGAAGCGCGTGTATATTTATGCTTGTGCTGCGATATCTGTTGCCAGCATGTGGCCCACAACATTGCAGAGAAGTGTGTTCAAATGTCAGAGCTGGCTTGGATTTCCAAAAGCTTGCCTGGTCCTCCTTTTCATAGTCTTTCCTTCCATAAACTTTTTACAGTCCTTCTCTTTTCTTTGCTTCCCTGTAGTTGCATCCTGAGTTGGTACCCTGTTTGCATATCGTTTTGCTATACGATCTCTGGCAGTTCCTGTGTACTCAGGCACCTAGGTGGTATGGCTAACCTTTCAGACCTCAAAGTGCATGGAGGAAAGTTAATTTGTTGCTTTATAAATGAATGAATTAATGGCTCCATTACTTCTTCCTCACTAGGCCACAATGTTATATGCCCTTCTGTCTCAGCAAAGTGGAGAGATCAGCTAAATGTTTAGCAAGACAGTAATGGATCACATCATGGTAATTTTTTCCCCTGTTAATCGGCACTAAAAATTTATTTTCGTTTTTGTAACTTGAAAATGGTATCTGCCTGCCTACCAGTAATATGATGTTGAAGAGGGGAATAATTCAGAGGCTTTTAGAAAAGGCTGAGTTTATTTACTTATTTATTTGTGTTTTCATGGACATGAAAATTTTGGATTTCTCTGAATAGTAAGATAGTGATGGCCAGGCCAATTGGATGGACTACTTCTATTTGTGCAGAAGAGGGTTTTTGTTTTATTTTGTGTTTTGGTTTTTTTAAGAACTTTGTGACTGAACAATATTAAGGGAGAGGGAAGCCTAGTTAGAGTTACATTTGCAAATCTGTCCTAGTGACTCACCTGACCAGGCTGCTGGAATTTCTGCCACATGCTAAGCTTGCAATTTTCTTCTTCTAGGAGTGAGGAAAGATACACAAACCCAATGGAAAGCTGTTGAACTATCATTTTGCTTTTAGCTACAGACCTCCTTCTCTTAGTCCTCCCCCTCTGAACAACCAAACCACACAGGAAAGGCAAAAATCCTTGTTTAGTTTAGACTTTACTTTTGACAGAATCCATAATTGAAATCTGCAGGAATTGTGAATGTTCAATAAGACTTTGTTGTAGCAAGGTGATGGCAATCAAAGGCATCTATCTAATGACTACTGAATCCTCTGCTATGAGAATGTTAAATTCAGACCTCGAGAGGCACACTTGCCATGAATAGTGCATTATTTAAAAAATAACTATTGAGTATAAGCAAACTGAATATAAATAAACTGGTGCTCTAAATAGTGTGCTTCAATCATTGCCTCCATTTCTTCATTTTTTAAATTTAGATTTCTCAGAGGACTAGATTAAAGGAAAGAAAGAAAGGGGGAAAAAAAAAAAAAAGTCGATTGCTTTTCAGATCTGCTATCTAAAAGGGAAGAAATCCTGTGATGCGTTTGGAAAGGACTGTTCCAAAAGCTGGAAAAGGAGTTACCATTTTGGAGATACTGACACACACTATTTTTAGAAAGCAGATATCCTGCATATGGAAAAGTATGTGAAACTACATTTAGCATGAAGCCATGTAAACCATAAGATCTTATAAGCTCCTAATTTCAAGATGAAGAGAGTTAAATTATAGATTCTAATAGTATCTATAAATACTTTATCATTCTCTGAAATCTTTCTGTCTGCCTTTGTTCCTTAGCCTTTCTCTGTAACTTCTTTCCTTTCTACCATCCGAGTCTTCTCTGTTCTTCAGAATGCACTAATTCTTTTTACATGTGCTAATAATATGGGCACATTGCCTTAGGCCTCAAATTTACAACCCAATCATTTCAAGACCCCGTTGAAGGTTTACCCTTCTTTGTTTTAAAAGTTCCCATGGACTCAGTTACGCAAGGTTACTTCAAAGCCCTTTTTCTCTGTTTCCCTTGAGACTCTTTTTTCCCAATATAATATTGGCCCCATTTCCGTTGTTAACAACATTTCACTGTTTTTGGGATGAATGAAGTTTGTATGTAAGAAAAATGTTTAAAGTGGCTCTCAAATTTCATTCAGATCTGTATTTTCTCTATTTTAAATATAGCCCCCATATTTATTTCTCTCAAATATCTATGTACTAGTTTTGACTTTTTTTTTAATACTTAGCACCCGACTCTCCACTCTGTTATACTAGCTTTTTACAATGCTAAATTCCTGGTGCAAAATGATCTACACAGACGCAGATTTATTTTTCTGTTGTGTGCCTGACATGGGGAGAAGGGAAGAGGAGGAGGAGATGAGAGCAAAGAACAGCTTATTCTGAAATGAGATTTGACCTAATTGTGGAACAACTTATGCTTGATGATGTTCACGATCCTTTTTGTTTTTACAAGACTGATAATATTATACCTTTGCAATTCTATGTTGTTCTGGGACAACTTAAGGGTTTCCCATTGTTGAATTACAAAGCCCTATCTTGAGAAAATAAGAGGCAGCAAGAATGTTGTTGTTCTTCAGAGAAGTGTGTGCCATCCGCTTGTCTATACACTCCTAAGTATGCTGTTGTATTCCTGCCTAGGCAAAACTCCGGTTCTGATTTGGGGTTCAAAATGAAAGTGAAATCTCTGTAATGTAAATGTGCTTCCTGAAGCTACTTTTAAGGCTTGCATCATAAAGACCAACTATATCTGATTTTAAGTCTCCAGGTAAAATCTTTGTCTTCGAAGTTTTTGGATATCAAAAACTGTTTAAATCTCCCTAAAGCACAGTCTCCAGAAAATATTTCTGATATAAACAATGTAAGTCTGAATGTGAAAGTTCACAGAAGTCACTCTGGCACTAACTTCACATGGCAGCTTTAAACTGAAAGTCCAAGTCTGTCTGCACAACTATTTAGCTGCAAGCCTTTGCTGATAAATGAAGTCAAGATGATCGTTGAGTCTGATGATCACAAGATGGCCTTGCCTTCAAGCCCGCACCTGACTACTGTGCCTGGCCAAACAGCTACCATGGTCATGGTTTGCTCCACGGTGATCACCTACTGTGCCTGGCCAAACAGCTACCATGGGTCATGGTTTGCTCCACGGTGATCAGGTGGTGGGGTTGGTCTCCAGTCCCACCTGGAAAGGTGTATTCTGCAAGAGCAACTGGGATTTGTAGACCTCCATTGCTTGTCACCATCAGAGCATGCAGCTGAGCTATAGCAGACCTGTGTCGATTCAGTATTTGTGGAGCCATTTCTCAGGACATACTAGGTCTTATCTCTGGCTTGCTGCCACAGGGAATGTGAATGCATACTGAGAGTCTTTCTCTCAACTTTAATGGGTTCCGGGTCAGGGCTGTGAAGTGTCTCATTGTCTTAAAATTTCCTCATGGTCAACATTTTAAGCATATGCTACACTGGACTTTAATCAGAGGTACTTTATTGCACAGGCAATTAGAAGCAACAGTAGAAATGCTGTGACTAGTCTGTTGCTATAAAGATCAGTGAAAGAATTTAATAGCAAAGGTTATATTTTTTTTTTTGGTGGTGTGTACCGGTAATTTTCATTAGCACTGGAACGGCATGTTCAGAGAGATAAAGACAGTATAAATAATAAAACAATCAAATGCAATATGGATACCATGCATTGCGTTCCCCTTCCAGTGTAAAGTACAGCATCTTTCTGTTTTAACTGTAACGCTCTTTGAAAGAAGGAGTACCAGTACAGAGATCATCTGAGATTAGCTCTATAAAACTGTATTACCATAAAAGGGATCACCCATGCCACAGAGAAGCAGTCTCAGAAATAATCCAAGAGACTAAATTTGAATACTTGCCTCATTTTTATCTTGACAAAATGTTTTTACCTTTTGAACCTGGTGTTTGTTTATTCTGTCTGTGTGCTCCTGTCTTCTTGGGTTTTGATAAACCTCCGGCACGGGAGAGTGAGAAATTAATGTGTTTCACTTCATCTTCTCCCTGAGGTCACAAGTGAGGGAACAATAAAATTTCTAGGCAGAAATGCATTTCATTAAAAGGGGACCTAGTTAACCTCTTGCAAGTTATTATTTCTAATATCTGCCTTGGTGCGATTCCATGAATTTTGCATCTGTGTGTTGTTTGATATAGGGATGGAGGATTGAGCAAATATAAAATATTAGTACTGTATCATTAGTACTTAATTAAGACATAATAAAACTTACTGTCGGGGAAGGGACTAGAAGAGAAAATAGAACAGTGCCCTGGATTTTCTCATATAATTGTGTTATTTGGTATTTACTTGCCCTGGGTGAGAGTTCATAAAAAGGTGGAAGGACAAAGAATTTGTGTCTATGTGGATGTAAGATTACTAGCAAGAGTATTTGTATGGTGACTGCCCTTACATCCATTGATGTTCACATTGCTGTGTTAGCCAGTTTTTGCCCACTCAGGAGTGGAAAAAAGATTTGTTTTCCTATTAAATTTCCAGAAAAATGACAAAGTTATGTTGAAAATTGTAGTTTTTCCTGTTTCATCTACTGTAGAAGTTTTCTCCTTTTGTTGACAAACATAAGCAATGGATGCTCAATTTGCACCTAGATTCTGTTCAGCAATACTTAAAGTAGTTTCGCTATTGTGCCTGATGCTTATCGTTAATTAATGCTTTTCTCTACTGTGGAAAAAACCCGCACTTAATGACATTTTCTTTCATTTGCAACTGCACGTTGTTCTTTGTTTGCCTGAGCAAAATGTGACTGATGATGCCTATCTTCACTTGAATGCTGCACTGTGATCTACAGAAATTGCAAGACTGATTTACTTTTACTTTTTTGGTTTGTTTTTAATATCCACCAAAACATGCCAGAGCACATAAAATGAGATGTAGGCTTTGGTCTGAAGAGCTCAGGAGCGCACAGGTGCTGCCTGCCCAACATGCAGTATATTTAAACTCGGGCCTGTTCTAAGTGATACTTTTATAAACCAGAACCTTTGAAAAGTTGAATTGTCTTTAAAACGACCACATGGCTGTACATAATAAACTGTGGTAGGGCTCAGTACTTTTATTAGCTAATTAAACATTTGCTGTGTTGAGAGAAATGCTTTTGGAACACAGGCCTGAAGTTATAACAAAATTCATTCTGTATTTCTGCCATGTGGAAAGGAGGCACATCTGGGAGTGGTGGGAGAATGTGAAGAGAAGCTTTTCCAATTGCTTAAAACGGAGTTTGAAGTTTATTTTTTGAATGAAGTGGTTAGTTTAGGAGGGAGCTCAGCAAGTTCTGAGCTAGACAGGTTTTTCCCATTGGTTTACTGAACCTGAAAGAGACACCGATTTATAGGAAGCGTGTCTTGCAAGTTCCAGTTCTTGGCTTTCCCTAGATACAAGTGTCATAACATGCACTTCTTGCTAAATAAGACCACCATCTGCAAACATGCTCCTGTGTAATTCCTTAGGCATCCTACAGAAAAATGTACTTTTGTGTACATCTTCCTTTAAAATAAAGCTTTATCTCCAGAAGCATCACCTAATCATTTTGCTAAAAACCTCCCTCTTCTTTGTAAAATTCATGAAATAGAAAACAAAACCTGAATAAACGATAACCTGCTGAGCCACTTACGTTCACTGTTGTAAATGAAGCTCTAACTTTGTTTTTTATCTCCAACAGACAAACAACAGAAAGGTGAATTTGCCTTAGAGGGCTACGCCATCAGAATGAATAATAGCCTTCGGAAGGATGCAAAGAAAGATTGCTGTTTTGAAATCTCCGCTCCTGATAAGCGCATTTATCAGGTTGGACTTTTTAATGTTGACTTGAAATTAAATTGATAAAGCCGTTACAATTCCAGTTACTGAATTAACATTTCAGTAAAACAACTTTCACTGACATCTTAGTGAAAAAAGGAAACCCTCGCTTGCTTATATTGTATATTCATATATTAGGAAAAAATCTGATTTAAAATATGTATGTATGTGTTCAAATATTATCTTTTTGGACAAGAGCAAGGAAATCTATCATCTTTATCTATTGGTCACTTCAATGTTAGCATTTTAATATCTATTGTATAGTATGTCTGTGTGATTTCTTGGATGAATTAAATAGTAAAAAAAAGCTAAAATATATATCAGTGTTAAATACATATTGTATTGGTCATGGCTTTGCAAGGAAAATCTACGTAAAGGCACATATCAGCTGTGCAATTCAGAGATCTATCAGCTAGACATCAATATAGAATGTAAGTTTAATAAGTTTTAAATATCTGAGATTGCAGTTGAAAGCCAGTTAATTAAGCTGTCAGGTAGTGTGTTGGAGTCTGACAAGAACATTTTTAAGAAAACTGTACCCAGCAGTCTGAAGAAATTCATGGGTGTCTTCTAATTGTCAAGGGCAAATTTTGTTCATCAGTTCTGGCTTTGACATTGATGAAGAGAAGCAGCTTTTTTCTGCACAGCTGCCAGCTGCTGATCAGAGTTTCAAATCCATCATCCTCTCCTTCAATTACGTAAATTTGTCAAAATTAGCTGTACATTTTAAGAAGCATCCTTGCAAGAAAAGTACCAGAAGACATGAAAAGAATTACTAATGGTTTCTTGAGGAAGTGACGAGAATGCTACAGTCCCTCTTTTTTTATTGCTAATGAAATTGTAGTTGTGTTTTTGTCATTACTGTTAGTAGTTATTAATAAATGTTTCATAGTTTACAGCTGCCACTCCCAAAGAAGCAGAGGAATGGGTACAGCAAGTCAAATTTGTAATTCAAGGTAAGCCAGCCAGTAGAGCAGTAGCCTTTATTTCCAATACTGCCTAGTGATGCTAGTTCTATCCATTAAGATCTGTCACGTTTATATATCTAGTATTCCCACTTGTCCAAGTTTTGAATAGCAAGTCCTAGTTCTCAGTCACGTTGTAGCTTTTAGATGACTTTTCTCCTTTTGCAAGATTTTTGTTTTTTTTTTTTTCCAAGAATACTATTTAGCTTGAAAGCTCTTCCTTATGAACACTGTAAGAAAATAAGCAGAATATACTGTAAGCACCAGCTCATAAAAGATGAATTCTGTTTTCATTTTGCAGAAATTTCTGCTTAGGCATTCTTTTCTAGCAAATGTTAACTTTTTAAACTGCTGTTACATAGATATGGAATCTAATACTATTCCTGAGGAGGAGGAAGAGGAATATGACGATGTTGGACAAGTGAGCAGTGAACCAATAGATGACAGCATTTATGAAGAAGTTAAAGGTATTGAGATTTTTTTACTTTGTGACTTGTGATCATTTTGTCTTCTCTACTTCTAGTTTGATAACTCTGAGTGGCTAAAAGTAGGTGAGTAAAATAACCCAATGAATAAGATACTTTCAGATTTCAAGTTTTGCTATGACATTGAAAAAAGAATGTGTCTTCAACAAAGTCTGAGTGAGAACAGTTCAGTTTTCTTTAGCAGGGGCATCAAAATAGTGCAGAATGTGTAAAAGTGGTCTCAGGGGACTTTCGGCTCATTAACATTCTCTGGTATGCAATTTTTTTTAATTAAAAAATTGACTTGCCTTACAGCTTTTTCCACCAACTTGCCCATCTTTTTTTTCTTTATTCATTTTGGCATTTGTATGAAGCAAAAGTTCGCTATCACTCCATATGTTATCAGCTGCTGCCTATTACATGATATTATAACCCTGCAAAAAAGCAATGTGTTGGTTTGAAAGGGCTCTAGAGATGAACTGTAAATAAAGGTAACATGAGTATTGACATTGTTTTCTTTCATATCTTCCAGTATGACTGTGATTACACAGAAACTTTTTACTGTGGACTTTCTAATGTGGTGAAATGATTGTACCTCTAGATGTCCAAGTGTATCTATCAGATGTCAAGCTCTTTTTCTTTTGTTTTGCCAAAAGCTCTTGGAGTTGATTGTAGACATTCAAGTATTAGGAGGAAGGTGGTCATTCTTGATTATATTTTAAGAAGCTATGAAAAAAATCAATTTTTCAGTTACCATTAGTTAAAAAATGATATTTTAAAGTGATATGACAATTAATTATCACTTTGTATGAAATAACGTTCTCCATGCCTTGCTGTTTGGGGCAGTGCAATTATCAGCAATAACTTGAGAGGAAAAATCCATTGTGTCAAGTGATGCTGACTAACTTTATGTATCTGTTAGGTTGAATATTCTGACCATTGGAGAAAAGAACATTTTATAGTATGCCTTGGTTTTCATTTTAAGGTCATTTCAGTGAACTAAGGGACCAGAGAACATGAGTGACTGGTGAAAATGATTATCATAAAATTGTAAAATTGTAGCAGCACTCAATTCTTTAAGAGCTGTTTTTTTCTGTTCTATTTCTTTGAATTGTACCTAGACTACTTCAGCACAGAATACATGTTCTGCTGAAATGGGATGCAGTGTGTCATGCATGCTGAAAAACTCTTCTGCAGTGAATATAAAAACTACATTACAGGGCTTAATCTTATAGCTAGAGGATACAGCCAAACCTTATTGCAGTGCTTTTTGGCTGCTCAGGCTCTTACAGAAGGTGATCTTGTATGCTTGCCTATGCTTTTGTTAAAGAAGCTCTAGATGTATCCTGGGATAAATTACTCTTTTCTGAGCTTCGCTTATCTTACCTGTTCATTTGAATCCCAAACAGTAAGTAGATCTGGAGCAGTAACACATGCAGTATTGGTAGAGGGCCAATAGTTAATATATGCTTTGAGTTCTTTGCTTTGAGCTCTGTCTTCAGAGAATCGTATGATTCTGCAAGAATTTTGAGTATTTTCACTTATATCCCATTTTTATGTCAGTTTTCCAGGAACCGTTGTCTCCTAATGCGGCTAATAAATCTGAAATGTAACAGAACAGCTGTCACAAAGACAGGATAGCTCTTCTGTTATTCAAGAAATCTCGTTTTGGTTTTTAGTTAAGTGGATTTCTTTCCCCATGATTTTGGAGTGGTGCTTCATTTTCATCTTACCAAGTAGGGATTATCTTTTTTTATCTCATGCTTTCTTCATCTCGTTTATTTGAATTGTAAACTTTTCAGGAAGGACCATCTTAACTTGTACAGTGGAGCTCTTAATTTTGGCTGTGATGTGTTGACATAACTAAGTAAAAGTAAAGCATAAGTTTGCAATATATATTAGGTGATTAAAGCATCTTTTTCTCTTCCATAAATGTGCTTTAATAGTGATTTGCTTAAACAGCATGAAAAACTTATGGCTCCGATGCCTTAGAGCAGTCCTTCTCTTCTTTATCCATAGCATATTGAAGAGTATTAGATGAAGTGCTAGTTGACAAACCTCATAAGAGTAGGCCTTATTTGGTTCTTGTATAGCTGTTCATCTAAACTTGATGATAAAAGACCGTAACTCCACTTTGGTCTCATCTGCCTTAAATGCAACCGATCAGGCCTAATTAATTCCAGTTGGCTGTTCTTTCTATTTTCCCGGGTAAGTGAATTGCACTCTCTTCCTTTCATGGTCAAAGGGTGGAGCATCATTATCCCCACTGTTACCTCACTTATTAATACCGAGCAAATAAGGAATTCTGAACTCCTGTTAAGAGAACAGAAAAAAAGAATTATTTGTACAGCCCCAAAACTATGCTAAGCTCTGGAATGCAGAAGACAAATATGCTAGATCCCTGTGAAGAGGAAGAAGAAATTAATCTTCACTTGTTTTTATCCTCAAAGCTTCTTGATGTTAGAGGCTTCTGATCCTCTGTTTCCACAGATCCACTAGCTTTATAAATATTGAATTTCAGGTACAGAGCTCATTGTACTCTGTTATTATTTGTTTGACTATAATTTACAATTTCTCAAGTAAGTAAAATTTTGCATTTCTGTGGTTCTCCAGTGTTTTTTATATTAGCATTTCAGAAGCAAATTAAGCCAGTTCATGATGCAGTCCATTTTGTAATATTGGATTTGGTATTTGAATAAGGAGTATTTGGATTAAAAAGAGGATATGGAAATTTTTGCACAGTTTTGAAAATTGGGAGTTTTGGAGAACTGTTGCAGTAATCGGAACTGACTGATGCTATATTCTCTAGCTATCACACTGCTTAGCTATTCCTGCCCGCCCCGCGCCCCCCCCCTCCCCCGCTTGTGGCAGGAGACAGTGTAGATGAATTTTCCAGGCAGGATCTAAATAGCTTCAAACCAGCATCCAGAATGGTAACAGTTTATTAGCCTTTTAAAAGCATAGATTTCAGTGGAATTCAATTTGTACTGTCTGCTGGCAGGAGAGTGGGTTGATAGTTGGAGAGGGTACAAAGAGAGGTGGGAAAATTAATCTTTCGATCTGTTAAGTTACTTTCTTCTTTAATAGCACATACAAATTCATATTTACCATAGAAGCATAATTTTCCTGGTTCTCAGTCAGTGTTTTACTGTGGTTGTTCAGGTAGGGTCAAAAATGTCAGAACTGCCAAAGACTTCCCAATTTGTAAAACCTTCCTTGCAAGATTCTTCAGGTAAAGAAAGCTTTATTCTGTCTTCAACAAGCTAGGCTTTTGTCTTTTCCTCCGTGTTTTTATTAAAATCCAAAAACTTGGTTAAGCAAAATTAAAAATATTGTCAATAAAGGCCTATTTTTGCTTAATTAGCTATTTATTTTCTACCTTAGTACACTCTGTATAATTTTGCAGTCCACAGCTGGGTATTATAAGCTGTAACATAAAATAACTTCTAAAACTCTAGTATTAAATAACTGTGTGTAGAGCTACCTAGATGCAGAGTTTCTAGCTTAGTGGTGTTTTAAACAATGGAGTTGTCCTTGTCCGAAGAGAGAACGCTTGCCAGCTTTAAAGGTTTGTCATCTGTTACAACCCTTGAAGACCAAATTTTTTAATTAAAAAGGGTTTCAGTGACATAATTTATAAGGCCCTTCAGTATTGTCTGCTGTGGTTTCACATCTGTATGGAGCACATACCCAAAACTGCAATGCTAACTACTGCGTGCCACCTTGATCCTTTCTACAACCTCAGCTCAGTTAGTGTACTGTCTACAAAACACTTGCACAATAGGAGAAAAGTGGTGTTAATCTAAGATAACATACCTTAATTTTCAATCTTGTGTTGTCTTTTTTTCTTCTATTCTCTTTCTGCTCACAAACTTGCATTATAGCAGTAGTTTCCATGGCATACAGTGTAGTTTCCATTAAAACGTTTCTAAAGATAAGGTTTGATTCTTACTTTGGTGGTGCTTAGCTGGTGCATGGAGATAAAAAGCTTCCCTCACAGAATAGGTAAGGTTGGAAATCCTGAAGCAATGTGATGTGACTGGCATTGTTGGCTTTGTGCCATCTCTTCTTAGCCTGTCCACAACACAGAGAGCTTTTGGGTGAGAGAGAGGTAAGGACAGTGAAATTCAGTGCTGTGGTGATCACTGGCCAGGGGAACTGCTGTGGAGAACTAACCCAGCCAACACAACTTGCATCAGTTCTTAGTTTGCTGTAAGTTAAACTTTGGGATTGATTCAATCCCTGAGTGGACCAAGGATCATCGTCAAGCCCAGGTATCTGGCCAATAGTTCTGTTTTGCAGTGTAGTTGGAAGCTTAGGTAGGGAAACTAACTAGGGCAAAGCTAAGGGAAAGGTAAGAAATGTCTTAAGTTTTATGCAAGAAAGTGTGCTATGCAAAGAAACACTTTAAATTTGTTTACTTATTTTAAACAAAGTCTTTTAAATAGTCTTAAAATTATATTGATGATGTTTCAGAACTTATTTCTGACATTGTGCGTGAAGGTAGGGAATGATCATCCATCCTGTCTCTGTCTCACAGTTGTCTGTTTAAGCAGCTTTGTCGTCTTAATTTTTTCTAACAGTTAACCTCTGCAGTTAAGCAGCATAACTTAATACCATCCTCATCCTCTCTTGTTGCTGGATTGCTTGAGCTTTGAAGAAAGAAATTGTTTTTATGATGTTGTACCCCTTTCATGAGCATGGAGGGGGAAAAAAAGAACGCGATCTCTGATTTACCTTTTCTTGGGAAGAAGGAATGATTATGTAGTGGAGTTTAAGTGTAAGTTTGATCTGTCACTCATGAACACCAATTCATAGCAAATACTTGTGTTCTCAAAATGTAGTGTCAGATGTATTGACTTTTTAGCACTAGAAGTGAAGATTTCACAGTGCTGTGTTAATGAAAATACCTTTTCAGGAGACCTTTGCTTATTTTAGAGTTTTCAATATATCACAGTCAGGGTCTGTGGGTCCAACATAGTGTTTGGTGTCCAGCAGTCCCA